ATTCTGAAGGCTTCACCATCTTTCTCTTCATACCTATGATTAGTTTCAGTAGCGCTAATGTGTCCTTCCCTCCAATTATTGATATGCCTATTAAAATTCGGCTTAAGAACTCATAGTTTGATGCATTGGCCTATATGCCTGACCTCTGGTATATATCAATTCACTTACCCTTTTTCGTATTTTGTTGTCTCCGCTCTACTTACCGCTCCTTTCCTGTCTCTTATGGACACCATCTCTTAGACCATGGCAAGATTGAAGACACCCGTACTTCTAGTGCCAACATGCGCAACGAGAAGCAAGCAAGACGGGCTTCTAAAGCACATCCTAAGCAAAGCAGTCGACAAGGACGAGACAAAACGAAAACATCCAAAGAGGCCTTCTTGAACGGCTCTCAGGGCTGTGATAACGGCCAGATTCCAAAAGAACCCGCATCCCCAAGGCCGGGAGAACCTGGATGGCAGCTTTTAGAGATGCCGATAACAATAGTGAGGGTTATGTGATGCATATTTTTATAATGGTTATATTTATATAGAATAAAATCCACATTTATAAACTCCGATAATCGGAGTTTATTCTTTTATACGAGGCTTTCTTGAATTGCCTCTTATGGGTAGAATTTACGGTTTCCGTAGAAACCATGGACAGGTTACTGTGACATCGGAGTGAACGCAAAAAAAGAAAACATTACATTTGATTATCTATCAAACCATAATTGTACATTAGTATAGGGTGACAGAATTACTTACTGGTCAAAAGTCAGTATGAGTTACTTACTACAGACAATTTATTAGAACATCTTGGCATGCTTACCTGGGATACATATTGAGCAGGTTTAGGAAATATCAGTACATATTTAATGAGAATATGTTACAACAATATCAATAAAACCTTTGGCAACTTTATGCGCATGACCCGTTTTAAGTCATGTTGGGAGAGCTGAAGTTACGTTAGGGCGAGACCAAAATAGTCGTCAGTTCCGGAGGCGAAAGTCTAATGGACGGCAAGTTTATGCGAAATTCAATGGCACAATGATTTCGTCCCATTTAGTTTTTGAAGACTTCAACTGCCAGTCCTATATTATC